CGGCGCGGAAGTGCTCGACTTCTGCTGGGGTGAGGAGGGAGGGGATGACGACGAAGCCGTCGCGTTGAAGCGCGTCGAGGTAAGGGGTTGAGACTGTCATTGTGGGAGATGGTATTCCTGTCAATGGTGTCCCTGTCTCGAGTAAAGGATCTGTTGTTGATGTTTTAGATGTCGGGTGAGGTGGGGTTGAGCAATCAGCTTATATGTGTTTGTTGGGAACTGCGTGCGCAGGCTCATGGTATGATTTCCATTATCAAACAATGTAGTATATTGAATACTACCTTGTTGAGTCCATGCCACCCTCCTTGGTAATCTTCTGTGATCTTCACTTGTTCATACATTGTGGAGTCAGCTCATGATAATAATGATACAATTACTCTGCAAATAATGATAACCATCTACCCCGCGGCAGAAAGAAAGCGGGGTTCTACGGTTACATTGGTATGACTAAGGTATGAACTATGAAGTATGGAGGAGAGAGGCAGATAGGTATCTGATAGAGAATATCAACAGCCATGGAATGATCTGATCTACCTCTCAGTTATGACTGACCCTTTCAACATCGAAATTTACCGCGTATAATACATTGCTGATCATCTGGACGTGCTCACTCATTGAGCTATCTCAACTCCACTTCCCAGCATCCGATTCATAGTGATGATGATGATCAGCTGGAGCGAGGACCACAAGAGTTATATTTAGATCAGTCGAAAAGGACCCTGGAGTGTTTTGAGAACATATATCAGACAGGAGGATGCAGTCACAATCTGCCAGGCTTGTCTCATTTATCCTGTCTATCTTTGATGTACATCTTCCTATTTTATGATAATAATAATGCAAAAATGGCCCTGGTACTGTTGTTGGAGTCATTAAGGTAAATTACTAGCTGTAATACCGCATGATCCCAGTTGCCTCCCTTAGTCCTCATTAACCCAAGGTACCGCTGTACTACCTAGTTGATACTGTGGGTCAGCAGAACCAGCTGCCCCTCCTTTGCCCTTGGGAGTGGGTGCTTGTTTTGTACCTTAGGTTGTATTCCATTGTTTACTTATTTTACTTAGGTTTCCCTGGTACAGATACACTCTGTTATTTCATAAATTTTCAAAAATTCCTAGGGCTGGCGGTGATCCCTCAAGTTTGCCTAGCTTGGACTAATTCTTGCCCAGGCTAAGAAGACCAGGAAGTTGTTCCCAGCTGGGCTGATGTTAGCGGGGCAACCGAAATCAATCCGCAGCTTCAGGTCTGATCACAGCTGTCATCGTCTTCTTGCATGCAAACTACCTTAGTCAGGGCAGCTTCTTCTTCTTTTCCTGTTTGCATCCGAGGGCTCCTTCCATCTGATCCTTTCCTTCCCATATCACAAGAACTAGCCAAATATTAAAAATTCGGGAGTTCGATCCATAGATACCCCACGCTTCGTGCCATATTCTCTAATGCTTTGACCCCGGTTGTCTTTCACTGAGGTACAGAAATCTATACACGTTATTGGGGTCATGACTCCCAGAATGAGCCCAGGCGTCAACGCCCTCATTGTGGTGGCATTACTACTGGTTCTGCTACCCTCACAGGTTCATGCCTTTGGCGCTGGCAGTATGTCCACTTCTCTCGTCTGCTTATTCACCTGCTCTTGTTCGTCGCTAAATTCAATCAGACATCGCTTCTATCTCAGCTGTTGAAGGCAAAAACTGGCGACATGGCGACATCGAAGATATGCTCAAGACCATTGCCTTTATCAAAGGCCACAAGTGGACGTCCATGATGGTCAAGCGCGTTTATTTTGGAAACTGGCTGCGCGATTAGTGAGTAGTCTGTTTTGGTGGGTCGAGCATGCGGCAGCAGTTACTAACTTCCTCCTTAAGCTCGCAGGCAATGGACGTCGGTACTCTGAAGAGCCTTCCCGCCGATACCATCCGCATCCTCGTTTGGATCCTTTCTTTCTTGACTTTTGGTTATGCGACGGCTGAGTTTGAGGTCACCTCCGACAGACTCGGAGTATATCGTCCTGAGGAGCATATTGAGTATGTCAATCTCAAATTCTGCCCGATGCCTCTTCGTCTTGGTACTGATGCTTATGTCCGTCTCTCGTAGCAACCCCAAAGACTATGCGGATAATCAGGATGCACGTCAGTACGACGCTCGACTCCGTGGTCCCATCCGCCAGGTTGAACTTGACATCGACCCGCAGACCGGTATGAAGAACTACATCGCGAACGAACGAGGAGACTGGGCTACGAGTACTGCCTACATCAAGTATAGTCTGGCGAGGAGCATTCACTACGGAAGAATGTATACCAGCGGTGGAAATCACAAGGGGAAGGAAGAAGACCTTTGCGAGGCTCTGCGATGCCTGGGTCAAGGTCTACATACTCTGGAGGACTTTGCAGCGCACACAAACTACTGTGAGCTTGCGCTCCGCGAAATGGGCTTTCGCAATGTGTTTCCGCACACCGGCGCAGCCACCGAAATTAATATCCGTGGTCATCGTGTCTTCCCCCTCGTGACAGGGACCTTTGGTATGGTGGACTTCTTCCATTCCGTACTTGGGGAGGCCACGGATCACTTCACCCAGTCAGAGGTCAATGAGATGGATATCGCGCTGGGAGATGCTCAGGCGAACTCCTCGACTGGGTCTCTCTCTGCTTTCACCGGGTTGTTGGGCAAAATCCCAGGGACAAAGGACCTCATCGCCCAGGCTGAGGAGCTCAAACGCCGCTCTGAAGCTCAGCAGTATGCCAATCAACACAGTGGTCAGAGGACGGGATATGTCGCCCACGAGACATCTCGAGGATTGGATGATTACGGTTCGGCCATCGGTCATGACCTGGGAGAATCGCTCAGTAGAGCTTCGGGACCCAGCCAGCCCTCCACCTCCGGTGGCCCTGCTGGGCCTGGATTGCCAGGAATGCCCGACTTTGATCCGAAAAAGACCGTGGCCCAGATCTACCCCATTCTTGAGTTCAGAGATAATGTGGTGCGGAAGCTTTCGTCGATCATTGAGAAGATTCCGGGTCTGGAGGCGCTGGTGGACAAGATCACGGAAACTCTGACTGTATTCGTTATGTCGCTTCTTGCTCCGTTCATTCGTCCCATCATCAACGCCGCTTCCAATTCGTTACAGGCTGGTTCCTCTGGTGTGATTGATGCCTCTGGCAAGCACCAGTTTGAACCGTGGACGGATCCTCACTGCACCGATCCCACCCACTCGATGCTTTCCAAGGATCACTTCTCTAATATTCTCAATGAACCCGCTGGTCGAGTCGCCGCGGCCATCCTCAAGTATGTCGCTCCTCGAGTGTTGTACGCCTGGGAGCATCTCGACGTCCCGGAACAGCAGGTTCTGGACGATTGTCTTCATGTGTTTCATCATCCTGCCCTGCGCGACATGCATAATGAGGCGCACCGGACCATGTTCGAGGCGGTTCAGAATTGGGCTCACTCCAGGCCGGACCGAGGTGCAAGTCTCAACGATATTCTGAGCTCTGAGGGTGTCAGAACGGGCAAAAACAACGGTGGTGAAGTCGGGCACTCGCATGCCAGCACTGGCTTTGCTACGTTGGGAGGTAACAAGCCTAGCCATGCGGCTCACCAACAGCATCCTACACATCAGCAGCCACATCCCCAGCAACAGCAGTCTTCTTCCCTCCCCTGGGACCAGCTCTCAAAGCTCCCCATTCCAGGCATATCCAATTTGAGCAAGTTGGAGAGTGCCTTCTCTAGTTTCTTACCGGGCAGCTCATCAAGGAAAGATCTTGTCGAGAATGTAGCTCCTCAGCATCAGGCTCCATTGCAGCACCAACAGCCTGATCGTCCGTATCAACCACATGGCCAGCAGCCTTACGAATCACACTCCCAGCCACATCATCCCCAGTACTATCAACCGCCTCAACAGCATCATCCCGGCGGTGGGTACGGTGAGCCTCACGGTGGCTATCAGAGCAACCGTTATGGGGACCAATATGGCCACCCACCTCCCGGCCCTGGCTACAGTCCCCCGGAACACCAGCACCAACACCATCAGCACCACGAGCATCATCACCAATCACATGGGTATGGCCAGGGGCATCACGATTATCCCGGATCGGGCTATGGTAATAAATACGGTTCTGGGTATTGATGCTGATGTGTGGTACGGTTGTGATGCGGGTTGATTGCTATCGGGTGTATAGATCTATCCCTCATCGCGGGGAATATATCTTGAACTCTTTATCATGATGACATGTGTACTATCTTTTCTACGACCCAGTAAAATTGGAAACATGTATTTATCATACTCGAAATACATATGTGTTCACATTAAAACCCTCACTCAACCAGTACCTTAATATCCTACATATCCTGAAACTGTATTTTGCCATTAAATTTTCCAGGTGTATTAGTTTTGGTACATAAGATATTTGAGCGGTGCCCTTCAACAAGCACTGCCGGGCTAGCTCAATCGGTAGAGCGTGAGACTCTTAATCTCAAGGTTGCGGGTTCGACCCCCGCGTTCGGCTTTTTCTTTTGCTTCATTTTTATTTATTTATTATTTTATTTTATATTTTATTTTTTATTTTTTCTATTTAAAAACTCACCTTCTCGTTTCGCTCACGGAGTCTATATATAAATTGGATGCATGACCGAGATTAGAAGGCCGGGTCAGAAATAACTACGTATACGGTTGTGCTCTGTTGTGTCTCTATACGTGAGTCCCAAGTGTCAGAGGTAGTAGATCGGATACTCTGAATTATTAACAGCTATCATGTACAAGCATGCCATGACAGAGGTTCAAAGTGCTATGAAGGGTTCAGAGACAAGCTGAAGAACAAATGGAAAATGGCATAGCCACCGCCGACCGACCTGTCAACTCCGAAAAGCATACTATATACAAGCATCCAGTGCAAGGCAAATAATGTCAGATGTTGCACAATAACCAACCCGCTATCTAATGCCATGGCTCGTCATAAGCGTATTATATCATCATCATAATTTGTATGTTCAATGGAACAAGAGAAGACAGGAGGTCAAAGTTTGGTACCCTCCCGTCCGCTATCGCTCGGTCTTCGGGGTCTAAGCAAGCCTGAGGATGGACCGACTGCACTGCTCGGACCGGGTGTAGACGATCCTAGCTGACCAGCCCTGGTCTCATTATTGCTGTTGCTGCCATTACTTGTGCGCACACCAGTAGCTCGCTGGCCCTGGTGTAGACGAGGATTCATCAGCCATTGGACCTGCATGCGAATACTGCTAACAGCAGCATTTGTGTGAGCCATGTCCTCCTTTATGCGGAGACACTCATTCATGATGGCCATGCTGGCGCGAGCGTCTAAATCGGTGATTGCATGTGAAAGCTGACCAACTTCCTCCCGAAGAGACTCGTGCAGAGCAAGTAGATACGTCGTGGTGGCGGCATTAGAAGAGATTGCACTAGAATTATCAGCGTGTGATTGACTGCCCGATACACGCGGAGAGCTTGATGACCCCGACTGCCCCGAGGAGCCTGATTGTGCCCCTGTGTCGTGTCCAGGAAGGGCACGCGAAGTATCAAGTAGGGTAGAGCGAATGTTTGCGATCCCGTCCTCAAAGATCTCATTTCGCTGCTGAAGATGGCGGATGGTCAATTCCAAGGAGTCAAGCCGGGCATTCTGAGCCTCGAAATAAGGGCCCATAGCGATGAGTGGACAAATTTGCTCATGTGTCACCAAGTCGGCCCGCTTGACTTTAACGGGACATCCGTATTTGGACGCGGCACAAGCATGTATTGCCTCGGGGCAGGTTTCAATATGATCCCTCAACGCTTTTCGAAAAACCGTTGTCTGGCAGTCGGGACAAGTTGTTCTCAAGCTGGGACACAATTCCTTTACATGCTCCTGAATTAAAACGGAAAAAAAAGACTGTTAACCACAATATAAGACGATCGTTGGGGCATAGCACGAACCTCGTAATCCTGTTCCATCACTTCCTCCTCGCAACGAGAGCACTGGTGCAGCTTATGCATGCATTTTCTATCGGGACCGAGGTCCTTCTTCCTGGTCTTCTTGTCGCAAAGCGTACCCGGGCAATCCATGAGCCTATACCCACAATATTTGTCGACGTGAGCTTGAACATGACCCCTCGGTACAATTTCCTTGCAACCCTCGCTCGAAAATGGGCACTTTACTCGTACATCGTCGCACATATTGATCAATAGTCGAGGTACATTGAGGTAGACATCTCGAGTCGGCGTGCGGCAGGTCGGACATGTGAAATCATCCCGACCAGCGGCAAACGTTGTAATGGCGGAATTTAGGCACTTTTGACAGAAAACATGGTCGCACTGCAAGCGAACCGGGCGAATAAAGGGGCAGTGGCATATCGCACACATAAGATGGTCGTCATAACTGGAGACATAGTCCAGAGCACGCAGGTCAATGATCTCGTCGCGATCGCAGCTCGACTCCATCATCAGAAGCTCCTCGAGTTTCATAGTTGGCAAAAGCGTTCGGAATCTGTCGCCTTCACTCGAATGACTCGGTTTAATAGGGACATGCAAGACACCGCAGCGTTCAGGTGTGAGCAAAAAAGGGGTTATCAAGAAATGATCGTCTATCGAGTTGCCGTGGAGGTATGAAGATGAAACGATAACTATGACAGCAACCCATCAGGGTCACACGGTGGCTGCAGTTGGATTGAAGATCTCTCTGTGATAAGTACAAAGGTTTGCAAACGAGGCAAAAAAGGAATGTTGAGAAAAGAACTGAAACAGCGAAGCTTGCATCGGATGGATGGAGAGAGGGTGCGATTGCCATTATTATTGCGGGGAGCCCTTTGGCAGATGATGCGGAAACGGCAGATCAATCCGCGGCCGGCCGAGAAGGCCTCATCCAGTGAGATAGTCTACATCATCGTCAACCACTCTCTCCGTCAACAACTCGTCTAGATAGCGAAGTTTCCCCCCTTTCATTTCCACCGTCGGTATCCATCGTCAAATCAGCTTCTCACCGACGGTGCCCTAAGTGAGCTGTCGCTGACGCCTGGACCGCGTTCCTCCTTTCGCATTCCATTCCCCGGTACTCAGCCTCAGACCGTCTCCGCATTATTGCTTCATCAGCGCTGGGTGTCCCGGTCACATTTTCCAGGCTTCCCACGGTTGTTATACCTGTCACATACCTCTCCTGAATCGAGAGTGCTACCGCCGTTTCAAGATGACGAACCCATCTCAGTTATTCCTCCTTGCCGATCACATCAAATTGTCGCTGTTGGAGCGACAACGAGCGATCTCGCTGAACCTGGAGCCCAATAGTCAGGATGGAGAAATCTCTCGCTCTTTAGAGTCTCTACGGGATGGCATTGAGTCGGTGGAATCGGAAGTGTCGCGCCTGGAGGAAGCGAACGACGATGGAGCCGCCGATCTTAAAGATCAACTCAGTCATTTGCAATCACAATACCGAGACCTCTCATCTCAGTTTCATGGCCAAGACGAGTCGGCCTTGGACTCGGATTTCAGTAACGTCAAAAAGTCGTCTCCCGACTTGAAACAGCCGATTCCACAGCATCCGCCTTCCAAGTCTGTCCGGTTCATGGATTCCGCAGCGGAAGAGGCTGATATGGATCGTCGCAACCTCTTTCAGCCATACCGCGACTCTCCCTCTCCTCCAAGTCCGGACCACTCCAACATGTCCAATCAGCAGATTTACGACCATCACGCCGACACCCTTCGCGAGCAGGATGAACAGTTGGATCGGCTGGGGGAGTCAATCGGGCGACAGCACCAGCTCAGCATTCAGATTGGCGACGAGCTGGAAGGGCACATCGCACTGCTTGATGGCGTGGATGGCGATGTCGACCGGCACCAGAGACGATTGGATGGCGCGAGAAAACGGCTGGATAAGATCAGGAAGAGGGCGGGTGAGAACTGGAGTATGATGACCATCATTGGTCTGATTATCATCCTAGTCATTCTGATTGTTATCTTGAAATGAGCGATTGGCATATATATCCGGATGGTCTTATGGTTCATTTCCCCCCTGCAAGTTCTATTGTGTGACCTGGTTGTTAAGGCGAACATGGCGTCTGTCTGCTTCTTCCCCGCAATGTGTGAAATTCCCCATACATGGTATCCGAGTCTCTCAGGTGCGTTAGATGGAATGGTTTTACATCGATACAACTTATTACGCTCCTTGATTAGTACTTTATTGATTCCCTTTCTCGTTGATATTCACTTTTGATTTGATAACGTTCATCAATTGCATTCATGGCATATTTAATGTACATGACATCATGCAAACTCCCATGAATTACTGAATCCGCCAACACCACAAATCGAGATCGCCTTCTGCAACCGAATCACGAGATAGGAGAAATCTATTGAGTCTTGTTCACAGGGCCACTCCTGTTTGGCAGATCCTTGGTGCGACTTTGGAGTGATTCGAAGTCCTTGTCGTCGCTGTCAAGCTCGCCGCGGTCCGCCTTGACCTGGTACCAATTATCAATTGATGTCTTACTTTCAAGGGAATCAATTGAACCATACCGATGCCTCACTGTTGCTAGCAAGCTCGCCCTTCCACTTCGCCTTGCCCTCCTTGGTACTCTTCAACTGATCTTGCTTCTCAGCCTCGTAGAAGGAGTCCAGATCATCGCGGTCTGCGCTCTCACATTAGTCATTCGCAACTTAAGGGGCAGGTAGAGAAGGATGAAACTGACTCCGATCTGACTCCTTCAAGCCCAGGCGAGCGGCGGAGTTGTGGAAGGCTGAGACGGCCGTGTAGCCTGGTCTCATGACGACGCGGGGGCTGACCGATGCACGTACGGAGGTGAGAAACGACATGATGATTTGCGGGAGGTGATTCTGCTTGAGAGATTTGTTAGCGTACACTTTTGCTGCTTATAAGTGATATGGTCTAGTTGCGGGTGCGAGTAATATCCCAATGACGCTGCTCGCAATTGACGATGGGAGGCAAAAGTACTCCTTCAGCATTCAATGACTCTTAACTCACCTTCAATGTGAACTAGAAGAAGACAAATAGGTACTCTGCTTGTGTCAAATATACTAGTAAGAAAGACGCATGTCACTAAATCAGAAAAGTGAAGCACACATCAGCAGCGGGAAACGAGACGACTTTTAAAGTAAAAGCGCAAGCTACGCAACCCCCAAATAATGCCATCCACCTCGGCCAAGCTTAACTGGGTCCCTCGGGACGATAATAATTACGATAATGATCTACTGCAGAGATTATGTGCTCTCCTGGGTCTTCTCCATACGGGCTACGAAAATGCCCACATCTTCGTGTGTGGGTGTCAGTGATGACGTCAGGGATACTCAATCGACCAGCCATCTTGGAGTGAACGGGAGGATGGACGAAGGGAAGAAGTTCATCATTAGCAATAATCTGTCACTCTATCTATAGCTATGATTCTGTTCTGGTAGGGTAAATAGATGTCTCTTGTGGTCTAATCAGTTGAGAGTGCATCTTTAGATATGCTCTTTTGCTGCTTAAACAGATAACGGCGTTAATATATCCTGTCGGTCTGCATCCTCAAACATCCCCTATATTCTGCTGTCTAACGTGCAGCACCTGAAGTAACCAGTGTAATGACATCATGTACACAAGCTTGAAACTGGGTTTCATGCCATGTCCATGCTTCAAGGCACATATATTGTAGAATAACCAACAGTACAATCTAAGCATTCTTAACTTCTAGCCAACCCAATGCTTTAAGGGGCAACTGCCCATGCTTTCTCCTAGCTGATGATCATCGAGCAAGTTCTTTTCACAGCTGATTTCCATGTCGAGTTTTAACAATCATCGAAACTGGACCTAGTTGTCCCTAACACACCCAATTGGGCGTCACAATGTCCTGCCGTTGCTAGAACTTCCTACACCAATTACCGATCCGTACACTGGTGACCTGATGTCTACACTGCACCGGGTCCGTACCAATAACCCTGATGACTCAGTTTTGATGAATGGTGCTTTGACCACTATGCATAGGACTGACGTTGAATCCGGCAGCAAAGACACGATTTAAGGAGAGATGGTGAGAATGGCAGCCTGAAGAGAGATATTTGAGAAGAATCATACATTTGAATCAAGGTACTCTCCGGGAGAAGTTATGACAGAAGAACATCCAAACGAATCAACGTGGAAGCATAGAGAATAGGAAGTGCTGCACCGACCAATGACACAGCAACGGAGCGAGACTTTTTTTTTTCTTGAAAGGTAAAGTGCGGCATGGTCAATGGCTTTCCAGCCAGAGACCATCTAGGCCAGTTGGTCAATTGCAGCGGAGCAACGAGCACCGCCCGACTCCGACTCTCAATCAATTTACAGGAAAGAAGAGAGAAAATCCAAAGGAGTTGAAAAGAGGAAAAAAGGAAAAAAGAAAAAAGAAAAAAAGGCATTTGCAAGGACATATGGGAACAGCGCCCGACGAGAGCATAGAGGTCACCAACAGAAATCCCAATCAGAACCCATGAAATCAACCCAACAATGCAGACGTATATCGTTTCCGCCTTTCTAATCCCTTTGAAGCATGAGAATTCCGTCCCACCCAAAAATCAATAACCCCAATAATAAGCAGATATCCGAGGATGAATCGGCAGAAAACTGAACGTATCTGACACAGTCGCCATAGCACACCGAACAGAAGCAACTCCGGACCATAGACATGAAAGCGCCGAGCCGCGCTTCTATACATCATCGCGGCCAAACCCGAGGCCAAAAGGAACATTTTTTCCCTAACCGGAAGATAAAACAAGGTATCGTGTGTGTGATAAGAAGAATGCAAAACTGAAGTCGAATCGCAGGCGCCGTCGCTCGCAATAGGTTGAAGCATAGCAGAGAATCTAATAGAAGTGCTGTAGGTCGTCATCGGAGAAAAGTGTATATACAGAAAACACTAGTTTATCCTCTTAGGTTTCTTGCGCTCGTAAAAGAAACTTCGGTTGAGTCGTGATAAGATGCGATGGCCGTATGGAAGTAAGTACCAGAAGAATTATGACCCACGGTTAGGGAAACCCGATGATGCAGAAGCTGAGACAGCAGAAGAGAAAACATGCTATGAACGGAGGTCTCTGTCACTGACATGGCGACCTGGCAGATGGCAAGCCTCACCACCGCCGCTGAGCATTCTGCATCGCACCAGGCGAAATCGACGTAGGTGGGCTGGTCAATGTCATTCCGGTATTAGGGTTGACGATGGGAATGACTTTGCGAGTGCGGACCGCCGACGGCTGTTGGAAGCTCATATTAAGATTACTGGTAACTCCTGAATGCACAAACGAATTGGTAGATGCGGGAGACAAGGAGATGGATGGTGTGACCTGCTGAACAGGTTGAATCTGATGCTGAAGAGGAGACGAGTCGGGAGAGCCGCTGGAGAGAGACGACCGATCCGAGGAAGCAGAGTGAATTGAATGCAGCTGTGATTTCGGGTGTTAATAAAATGCCTCGACTCTAGCTGGTTGAAGGGGGCCTAGGCGCTCGGCCAATGTCTGAGGGTACGGGGGGTCCGAGAACCGGGCTGTGATAACATACATCGTCCTCTGTGAGGAGACCCGGACAGAACTCCAGGTCGTCGTCCAGGTCGAAAGACCGTCCAGCTTCAAACCGTGCGCGGAAGGCAGTCACAGCAGGGGCTTCGGCAAGTTCCCTCATACTCTTCACACCACGAAATTGACGTTGAGCATTCTGAGATGCCATCTTGGGCCCTCTACGGGAGCGGCCGTTATGATGGTTGTTCGATGATGGCATGTGGCTAGTAGCACCCTGATGAGGGTGCTGCTGCTGATGCTGCTGCTGATGGCCGTAGAAAAAGGTAGACATTTTGATGTAATTTGTGGTGGCGAATAGAGGAGACAGATGTATGTTAATGTCACTGTCTCAGGTTTTCGAGGCGAATTCAAAGAACCAGCAGAACTCGATACCTGAGGATAACAAGAACGTTTTCAAAGGCGAAAGAAAAGGGTATAGACGGGAGAAGTCAGCTGAAATGCAAGTATATAAGACAAAGATACAAAGGGGATCGTAGTAATGATAGAACTGGAAGAAGAGAGGAAGCTTGGGAGTGAGAGCGAAAGGTCGGGTCAAATTTGCGTTTTAGTTGGTTGTGGGATGGGGAATCATGAATCGATGGCGGGACAAGAAGTAGGTAGAAAAGAAGGACCCGGAGCGAAGAAAAGGAAAACGATGATCGGAGCGGACGGAGGCAACAGGCCAGGAGGGGCTTGCAGTTGTTTTGCTGGGGCTGAGTGAGGTGAGTCCTCAATCCTTAGAAGCTGGTGGAGCCCTTGCAAAGGCAGTACCAGATCAGTACAAAGTTTACCATACATTCAACCAAGTATGTAATAGTCAAATCGGTCCTGACGAGGGATTGTATGGTAATACCTCCGTTTCACTTTCGGCACTAACAAGGTCACGCAGCAGTCTTAGGGGAGGGTAAATCCAACCAGAAGTCCGTCCGCGGCATCTGAGTGGCAAGACGTGGACTAGGAAGCCAATGATAGCCATTTAAAGGAGCTGGAAGTGGAGAAGGAACAGCCACTTTGAATAAAAGCCAATAGTATTGCACTAATCTTACTCAAAGTGGTTAGTAAGTGGCCCAGAGTGACGTCTTTTAAATTACATTCTAATCTTCTTCTGGCAAATTTATCTCCTCGTCTCTGCACTGAAATCTAGGCTTGCTCGATTGAGCTTAGCTGGCAATCCTGAGGCGATATTACTCCGTACTCAAGGATACAGCTGTGAACGGCAAAGATGAAGAGACTGATGTTATTCTGCCTTTATTTTCCACTATGCTTCCAGTTTGGTGTCTGTAAGACTGTAGGTATGGCCGTATGAGCATCAATAATGTATGTAGTATGTCCAGGGCTGCTAGCGACTGTTGTTCACCAAAAACATGGACTTAAAATAGGGAAGCACAACGACGACTATGAATAGGTATTTTCCTCATGTAGATTTATGTCATGTCAGCCAGTACCTGCACATGGGTTGCGCTGGGGGATGTACTATGTAGTTTCAAGTTTCAGATCCCTCAAGACTGTTATTGACATCTATCTAGTATTATTACCTCTCTATTGTTGGACAAGCAAAGAAAGGAGAGAGAATGTAAGGTAAGGACCGTAAGGCACTGGTATGGGGTCCACTTCCGAAGACAGACAGGCATGCGTTGCAACTTGGAAAGCAGCAGCCAGCACCAAGCGCCAAAATTCCCCCTCGAATCTGCGGGTAATGCACTCCACTCACCCTTTGTGCTTTGATCTGTTCGTCGTCACTCTCGGCAAGGTACCTCACCATGCCTTTCTCTTGAACCGTGCCATCTGGTCCTGGGTAGCCTTAGGCTTGGTTGGATATCTGGTCAACAATAACAATGTCTGCAAGAACCTAAGGTATGTAGCATGCATACTGATATCGATCGCCAGAGATCCAGAGGTCAACCCTCCGACCCCAATTTGAGATTTCCTTGTATGATTGAGAAGTCTTGACGAGGTACCTTACTGTGTAAGTAGACTGAACACAGCTCTTACGAGCTTAAAGTACCACATTTGTTCCAGAATCGAATTGCCGCTGGAGTCGATCAATCATTGATAAGTACTGATTCATGAATCGTACAATCGACCCAGTTTTCGAACCATGCTGGCCCTCCTATCTCTTTTTGATAACCGATATCAGAATACGAAGAGGATCCTCGCAAAAGTACTCCGCACATTGTACAGGGTGCCAGAGTGAATTTGATGCCTATTCTTGGATACTCTATAGAGTTATCTTAACTGGAGTACAGATGATCGCTTCTTCGAGCAGAAACGCGTAGAAGCATGATGAATGTGGTAAAAAGAGAAACACATCATTTAATGGCGGCTAACGAAGCACTTCACAGCGGCATATCTGCTTACAGTGGATCAAGGATGCATACCATCGGACCACACAGTCCTTCTCTCCTTGCACTACTGCACATGGACTCCTGGGGATTAGGATGCATTTCTTCTTGTTTCTCCTGGGTGCATGGTTGGGCACTAATCCCATTGGTGATAGGTGCAAAAGGTTCCCTCCTGCATGATGCATGGGCTGTTAACATGATTTCAAAACATGAGCCCATGTTCTAAGTTTATGGACTTGGCCCGGCATAACTACACTCTCAAAGTCTTCCGAAAGGTCATCTCACCGCCTCTTTTATCATTTTATGATTCTGAGTCCTATCATGGGTTTTCAGTCTTCAGAAGACTCCTTATTATTGAATATGAGGGGCACCAAGACAGGATGAAAGAGTTACCCCTCACAAGGTTCAAACCTTGTTTGCTATCCTGCATGTACTGCATATTCCTTATGATCAATAATCGCGACTTTTCTTGAAAGTACTCGAGCCGATTTAAGGTGACACAGTGCGAGGTATCCAACTCTTTCATCACAACCCAGTGCCATCCATTTCGCTTTTCGTGGTGGATATCCAATTGACAGATGCATCAAATCGGTTCTGTCAGTCTTAAAATGCGGCCTGTACTTGGTCACCACTATTCTTACGCTAACAGAGCAGTTACACTGATTCAAGATACCTGCAAAACATAGTATTTCTGGAGTTGCACGGCCGACGCTTCTAGTGCTGTAGAAGGGACCGCAAAAATGTGTTCAACTCAAAGCGAATATTCTCACGGACTCCCCAACGGCAGATTCACACATCTCACTGCCTTCCGGGACGTTCTCAGCTCGGGAATATGACAGTCATGATTAGTGACGGAACATGACTAAGGCCTGAAAGCGCGGCATCTCACCAAGGACCTTCTGAACGAATGAATGCTCCCTGATGGCAGATCACTGGCCAGCAGCTATTGTGACACATGGTCTACTTCTGCTAGCAGTTGCTCTTGATCAGCCAACTAGGCCAATCACTTCGACTACCCGGAAGAGTAGGCACTGACGCCAAATAAAGCGGTCAACTCCTGCAGGGAGTTGTGGGAATAGAGGAAACTCGGCAGTCAGCATTTTGCAGTGAGAAAGAACAAAAAGTAACTCATCCAACTCCTTTAAGAAAGATACTGCAAGCTAGCAGGGTAGACACCCTCCACACCCTGTGGTCGTATATGCTAGAACATGCGAATGCCAGCAAGTGAAGACCCTGAACGCCGTTCTAATGCCCGTGCAACTAAGATCAAGTGCAAATCAATGTCATTTGTCCAGATTTTTGGTTTTGACCATCCGTCCAAGTAGCTCCTTGCAAGTCTTCTCGCTGTACTGCTCCCAAACTTCATACAGCGACACCAATTCCTGGGTGCACTCAATGACAGCTTTGATATCGACTTCACTCTCAGCAAGCCAGCTGATGAGTTTCTGAAGTTTGGGAGGAGGCCCAGAACCAGTTCGGTCTCCTAATGCGGCTAGCACGTTCATTCCACCATCCCTCATTGCGCCGGCGAGGACGGGGGCTGCAGACCCGTGAAAGTTTCCCGAACTCGGCTTGAAGACAATTGCGACAATAATCGCCATGACTGCAATGACATGAGGAGCGTATAGGAGAGGTAGGTCGGTCAGGTAATGATCATTGATCACAGACCATGCAAGGGCGACCTCATCCGAAGTGAGTGACAGCTCGGGCTGAAGCTCTGATAATGTTCGATACGGATGGTGCACAATGAGTTGCGAGTTCATCTCTGATATCAGGGAGAATTCACATTCGCCAAGTTTGGAAACATCCGGAGTGATGAATTCTGCCATCTGTTAGCGATGGTATACTAAACACGTATCGGATGCTATACCTGGCCAGAGGCTTCGGGCTTCACCGACAACAAAACGGATATGTTGCGGACACTCTTCCATTTTGCAGGCGAGATAGAAAGCAGTCGTAAGAACAAGGTAAGGGTTTGTGTGTCTGATCTCATTCTTTGTATAGAATCGCTTGATATACACCTGAGCAGTCGCAAGTGCTTGCTGCCTAGTTGACATTCGCTTTCCAAGCTTTATAAGTTCTGCTTGTAATCAGCCCGATCCTCTTCTCAAGATACATATCTGGCTCTCGCTTACGCTGACTGAAATAGATATTGAGTAGTCTCTGGTCCGGTAGAGGGAACTGAGAATGAGCAACTTTATCTCTTTCTCGAAAGATTTCCCGAATCTCCGCCAATTTTTCTCTTGTAAACAGCCAATGCCGACGCTGGGTCGACGCCCAATAATTGGCCGCCATTTCCGGATTTGTGGTCAAGCACCTGAATATTGCCTTGTTTCTTCAGGTCGAAGAATTCATCATGATGGCACTAGAGATACCGGCATATCCCTCGGAATCGGAGCACCGTATGACTCAACTTGATACAGTGGAAAAGCACGGATAAAGGTGTCTTTCAGAATCACTTGAACTCAAGTATACAAAGAGCGATTCTAGTTATATCAGACGACGAAAGATCTCGCCTGCAGTCCATCATCACTAAGATGTTGTTCGGACATGTAACCTGCCCGGGGGTGAAAGCTTTCCCAAAGGGGACTAGTAGGGTTGGGCCCTCTGGTCCCGTGAACCGGGTCGGAACCTGCTTTTCTTCCGGTGGATGTCGTAAGGAAAGCAAATCATCGCGGCTGGATTTCTCATGGCGAGGAAGGTAGTTTCGGGCTTGATCTCATTAACTGCTTCAATAATAATGCACAGCATATAGCCTTTTTCTTCATATTTGCAATACCCACGGATTCGATGCACCAGTCATTGCGAAAATCTACAAACCCCTGCC